ACAGATTAGACGTTGAGCACAATCTTGAAATTGATTAACAATAAGTGATAATTGTAATATCCTTCTAAGGCATGATTTTAGAAACATGTATAGTAATTGATGTCGTAAATTTAACAAATTCTAGTTATCTATAGGACATTCATTATTATTCATTTATTCTTGGTCTCACAGTATGTACAAAATATATTTCATCTTCAAAATGCAACTGTAACAATAGTGATATTCAGTTGGTGGAGCTTACTTAGAGCATAGATCTCATCAAATTAGCTATGTTAACAAATTCATGGCTTTTGTATAAAGTATACGAATTCTAGTTAAACATATATTGCAAATGAGTGTATTCATTGCATGTTGCAGCATTGTATATGTATAACTCGACACAAACAAATGTTTTTTATCAACATAAATTTCATGTAAACATGTTAAAATGCTGCTGCATTCATATCTGTTTCGCAATCATACATTAAACTTTAGTATCATTATCAAAACAAGTTTTTCTTTTTCTTTTTTTTCCAAATATTACAGTAAATATTAATGTATTAAACATACATGGTACAAAACACATAAATATTCAATTGAAAGAATGTTAAAAGAAAATAAGCAGTTCGTGAAATTTTTAATTTATCATACTTTACATTCTGCTATGTATTGCTATATATTATCTGACAAAGTTTCAAGCATGGTCTATATAGATCGCGTTATTTGATAAAACAAATAATTGCTATATATTTTGCATTTGAAGTAAGGAACTATCTGTTATATTCATACCTGCTAAGCATTACTGCGTTGTTATATTCATTTACGGATATAAATATATGTACTGTTAATAATTAACATATACACTCGATTAATATTATATTGTTTTATTGCAACAGATTCTGAAGCATAAAATCGATGGTATCAGAAGGATTTCGTCTCATCCGCTATTACCACTGTGTAAGTATTAATAAAACTTATTACCGTAAGTTATTATATTATATACTTTATATACAGTTCAAATATTCATTAATAATCTGTATATTTTTGATTGTAGACTTAACTGGATCACAAGATGGATCAGTCTCATTGTGGGAATGGGGTCATCAAACAGCTGTTGCAACGCCAAGACCATCAGGTACATTTGCTAAAGTTACGCGTGTACGTTTTTCTCAACACGGTAACAAATTTGGAGTGGCCGACTCCGATGGGCACTTAAGTTTATTTCAAGTAGCTTGCAGAGAAGGAACAGCGCGTCCATTCTTTGTAAGTTTTTGTTTTTTCCCCCATGAAAATGTATTAATATAATTAAACGATCACTCTATTACTCGATTATACTAATATTTAAATGATATTCTCTATTTAGAATTATCAGTGCCATAGCAAAGTAACAGCTGATTTCGTCTTTCTTGGAGCATGCAGTCTGATAGCTACTGCAGGTCATGGTTCGGAAGGACGCAATGTTGCACTTTGGGATACGCTATTGCCACAAAATAAATCTCTAATACAAGGTATAAATACAATAATTTGATCGTTAAAGTGTACATATTATTTTATCAATCATTCAACTTATTAGGTTTTACGTGTCACGAACAAGGAGCTAGTTCTCTTGTATTAGCACCGCAACATCAGTTATTGATAAGTGGTGGGAAAAAAGGAGACATCAATATATTTGATGTACGACAAAGACAACAACGTCATAGATTCCAAGCACACGAGTCTGCTATCAAATGTTTAGCATTAGATCCCCACGAGGAATTTTTTGTTAGTGGCGCTGGAGATGGAGATATTAAAGTAAACACATTTTATTTAATACCTGATTTAATTTACAAAGAGTAAAAGTAAAATCAATGTAAATAATTATTACAATTAATAATTATTATTATTATTGTTATTGTTATTGTTATTATAGATATGGGGATTAACCGTCCATTGTCTTCTACACTCTTTCCCTGCTGAACATCCTCGATCTAGTTTTTTCAAAAACATTGGACAGGTATATCGTGAATTATTTGAAACAATTTATTACGAAGGGCAATGTTGATATTTTTGTATTTCAGGGCGTTACACAACTACATGTCGACTCAGCAGGGCGTCTATTTTCGTGTGGAGCAGATGGTTCAATGAAAGTTCGTCAGTTACCGGAGCGTGACTGCGTTGTTCATACATTATATTAGAAAATATAGAGTAAAAATTTGTGCTTCTCAAATAAGTAAAGTGGCGCGACAAATTGTTTATGCTTTATGAAGAATAGAGTGGACCATTAAAGATAATTGCATATGTTATTATCACATCACACACACACATACGCGCGCGTATAGGCAATTATATACCATTGCCAGTATATTACACTTCTGTTTATATGACTTAACATATGCAAGCGAATTGGAAATACTGTATCAAAAATACAGTTAAATACAGCTAAATGTATAAAAAATAACAGTCTGATCTTTAGAGAAATTGTAGTAGCATTGACAAATGATTTCTTCAGAAAGTTCCATACAAAATATAATCCCTTAGTATAATATATATATATATATATATATTATATTTATAATTTTACAATATATATACGCACACATGTTGATAGTGTGGCACAGTGTTTTAACAAATTAATATGTGTTATAGGAAATAGTTCACATATGAAGAAAAAAAATGATAAAAAATGAAAAGAAAAAAAATAATAATAAAAAAAATAAACGAAGTATTCCAAATGGAATCATATATAGTGTCGCCTAAAACCAAGGTTCTAGAATCTAATTAAAAAAAAATTTTCATTTTAGTTAGTTCAGAAATTAGCTAGTTCAGCTTTGCTGTAATATCTTCAGTATAATTTGCTATATACCTTTAAAACAATGTATTTTCGCCAAAGTGTATATATCATAACGATAAAACGTAATTTATTATTAACAATCATTCCTTTCTCATATGAAAGTAAATTTATTGATTGACGATTAAATCTCTAATCTATGCGAATCACAATACTTTAATGTAAGATATCAAATTCTGTGGAAATAGTTCTATTCGAAAGAGAAATTCTTTTGAATTACAAAACCTAAACAATCATTTCTCGCAAAATGTATAGCTAACAAGAATACAATCAACTGTATATTATTCATATGAGCATTGTTTATAATAACATGGAATGCGCATTTTCAAATATTAAATTGTTTTCCTTATTTAGGCAAAATCAAATGTTGATGTCTTTCGTCTATAGTACATTATAAAGTGAAAAATTATTATAATATTCGTTATAGTAGTCATTAAGTAGAAAATAATCTGTGTAAAAAAAAAAACATCTCATATAAGAGAAATAAACTATTAAATGATAATGGCGATGATTGATAACGACGATGACGATGATGATGATATGATGGCGATGGAATATAAATTTCTACATGCAAGTTGCAAATACATTTTGGACTGGAAATAATGTTAACAAAAAAAAGGTCTTTGAAGGCTGAAAAATGAAACAATTTAAATAAGTTAATTGAGATTGATATGTTATTTATTCTCTGGAACTGAATATGGCAGGTTCCTATAACTGAATATTTAAACTAATTTCGTATACAATAAGCTGCGTCTAAAAGAAATACAAATAAAATCATTAAACCAATGTAAGATTATAACTGAAACATTTATTCCAATCTTAATATATATATATATATACATAAATATTATTGAATGTACACTAATATTTGCAATTTGTTATCGTTGTTACGTTGAAGCAAAAAGCATATATTATGGCCATAATCACGTATACACATACAAATATATCTTTAATATATAAAAATGATAACATGTTCCTGTAAAAGGAATTATAATGAATTATTTGTTAAAAAAGGAAAAACAATTTCCAATATTTCATTAACTTAAACTTTCTTGTACATGATTCGTTGTACAAAAGTAAATAATCCATTGTCAAAAGAGAATAAGTATATAAATATTCAAAATGCCCTGCTTCATTTATTATTGCGTGTATCATACATTGCGTTATATGATTTTAATTAGGATTTGAAAGTACATATATGTTGGATATTAATATATTAAATAACATAATTATAAGTTACTATAAACAATTGTTATTAGTATGTTGGTAATGCAACATGTGAATAATTGAAAAAGTCAAAAGTAGCTTGTTAATGATTTTAAATGTTTTCAAATGTATTTACATTCATTGACTTAGGGCATATTTTTAAATAATTAACGTATCAAGTAATAATCGAATGCTACAAACTCTTGTTGCTAAATGGTACAATTACTGTTATATTTATGTAACTAAAGTTAACTATGTAATTCACTACAGTTAACTAAATAAACACGTTAAAAGTTAGATTTTGCATATAGTATACTATGCTTGTCGGTATAAGAAAAAAAAATTATATTGACCAGTATCTGACTAAATAAATGCAATTTAACATGAGATTATAATTCTAACTCGGTAATCTTATAGTATTATACAGAATACTTTTTGTTATATATAACAAAAAGAAATATACTGTCACTGTTGTTTTGACTTGCTTATACATAAAATTGCTATACATAAAGACTATTAGCGAGTGTCATACTAAGAAAGTACTTGAAAATATGTGTATTTACATTGTAAGTATTAAAAAGTCGGCTCATATTAAATTACTTCTCCCTTTTTATTACCCTATTAATTAAAACATTTTTTTATGATAAAAGTAGATATGCTTAGTTTTTCTTAACAATAATATTTAAATATACTTTTATATATACATAATTTTATTTAAAAAAATATCTGTTATGATATCTGAAAAAAGATTGCACTTTAAAATAGAAAAAAAAATATATATTATTAATAAGGATTAATTTTTTTAATAGTATCGATTATTTGATATATTAAATATATACTGTTTATCACATCATGTAAAACTGTATTTCAATGTCGAATAAATAGATACATAGGTTCACAGATAATATTCATAGATACATATACATTTATAGAACGAATTAGTATGAATTCGTACTTGAAAGTGATGATATATATACGTAATTATTAAAAGTTTTTAATAGTCTTTTCTGTTTTGTATTCAAATAATTGCTAATAATAATAGAGATCTATCGATTGAATTAAAGCTGATTGCACAAACAACTAATACATAAAAATCGATATATCGCCTATCATAGAAGAAAATGAACGCAAGTAGAGTATACATTATAACCAAGAAAAATGTATTTTATTATTAATTTGTGGATTTAGTATAATAATTAATGATCAAATTAGTTATTATCTTACTGTATCGAACTTTAGACTATATTCTAACCTATAAACATTAGACACCAATGTCGACTCTAGCTATCAACTGTCGACATTGTGCTATTGTGTTATTACTTAATAACAATTATAGGTAAAAATTAGAAAATTAACAATACCCGTTCAAAAAAATGGCGGGATTGGAAAATTATGAAAAGGTTTATCGAGGACGTTTGATAGAAGCCCGGGATGACAAAGATCATTTGCGAAAAAAGTATCATGGACATGATGTTATTCATCCTTTGGATATATCAACTCCTTATCCTTTAGCAGAAGATAGCCCGCCTCATGATGATGGTTAGTTTTCTTTTCCTTTTTTCTTTTATTCTCTTATACGATATACATTTCCTTATTCTATGTAAGACTGGGACATTAATATATATTTTTTATCCTTTTAGATGTTGCCATAAAGAAATATATAGTATTAGGATGCAGTCTAGTCGGTTTAATCACAGAGAATTTATTAATTCATCCTTTTATCGTTCTAAGACGACAATGCCAAGTCAATCCTGGATCTACTAAGTATCACTTGGTACCCTTTTCTTTAATTCCTCTAATGGTACGATTACATCAGAGCCAAGGTTTAAATACTTTGTGGAAGGGAATCGGTTCTGTCTTATTAGTAAGAGGCATGACTCTAGCAATCGAAGACCTGATTTCTAAAGTTACACCGTGGCCAAAGTAAGGTGATAATCTGTATAAAATTAATCATTTTATATTACTCTTTGCAACTACGCGCCAACTTTAAGAATATATTATTAACGTTTCAATTATTATAAACGGATCAAGTATTGTTAAAATAGTACAAATTTATTTTTAGAGAAGTAACATGCAATAGTTCTTTGAAAGCTTTTGGTCAGCATCTACTTCTGAAATGGTAACAAGTATTACTTTTTATATTTAATAAATATCATTTTGTATTTTTCTCTCAAATACTATTTAACTAATATGATTATTACTGATCTAACAGTGTATCTCTAGGCATAGTAACTCCATTTTATTCTGCTTCGCTTGTGGAAACGGTACAATCTGAAATAGCATCTGAAAGTCCTGGTATTTTAGATGTTTTTCGAGATGGTGCTTTACGTTTGGTTGAAATTAGCAATAAAGGCAGACTCATACCCATTTATGCTCTTTTACCGCCTACTGTAGCCTACGGAGTATCTAAATATCTTTTTACTCTAATTGTAAGGGGTGTTACAAGTCGTATCATGCATATAAGACATAAGCATCGTCAGGAATATATGGTAAAATATCTTGAAATTTGATTCTGTATTATTTATATATAAAACAGTCTTTTTTATTGATATGGATGTTTTTTTTAGGGAGCATATAGTCGTGATTTACTATCCGAAACATTAGTTCAAGATATTGAATTACAATCGATATCAATTTCTATGTGCGCAGCAGATGTATTATTTTATCCTTTAGAAACTGTTATTCACCGTTTGCATCTTCAAGGAACACGCACTATTATAGATAATTTAGATACAGGAAAAAGTGTTACTCCATTATTAACAGGATACAGCAGTGCTACCGATTGTTATCGCACAATAATTTCCACCGAGGGTCCACTGGGTTTATATAAAGGTTTTGGAGCTCTCATATTACAATTTGGAGTATACGTTTTCGTATTACGTGCAACTAAATGGATTTTAACGGAACTAGTCACAAAATTGAAACCCAAGCCTAAATATAAACAAGTTACACGGTCTGAAATTTTATACCATAGAGATTCAATGTGAATATTTTTTTCCTTTATAAATATATATATATATATATAGATTGTTTCACATATACAAGAAATATTTTTAGTAATTAATTTATTAGCTAGGTTGCTATAATGATTATTATATAAATGAAATTTTGTGCTTTTTAACCATAAGGTACTTATATAATTAAATATGTAATTAAATATAAAAAACATTATAGAAACAATGAAATATATATTATATTAAAACTTCTTAAGGTTTTAATTTTATAGATATAAAATCAACAATGTTTAAAATTTTACAAAATAAAAAAACTGATTCATATTAAACATTTTCTTCGATTAAATATAAAATATCAAAGTTTTTGATACATTTTAATGATTAATGAAATCATTGTGATTTATTTGTGCATGCCATGTTCTAGAACAATATTACTTAAAATAATGAATAAATTTAATAGACATTATAATCTTTATGTAATTTAACTTTCAATTATTTTCAAGTAGTCCATCGATAAATCACTCTAATGAGTATAACCCATAATGTATATTTCAATTGAATTTATTACAAATACCAAGTCATATAA